ACGTTAGTTACAGGAAGGAAGCAGATGAAACCTTTAACCCCGCTGCATCTGTCCTGCTGCAGTTTGAGGCGAAAGGATCAAGTGACAGGAATGGAGAGCGCCTTCAAGGTCAAGCTGTGCTTCTTGAATGTTCTTAAATGGATAGTCATTTATTTGTAAGATCGAGAGACGTTGTCGGGCTGTTCTCGCCTGCAAATAGATATGCATGACTGTGGTTATTGTTCACGCACGCCCGAGATGTTCACCATTTTGAACTTTTAAAAGTCTCCTGGAGCTGATTTTCATGCACTTTGTGTTCTGGCCTCGAAGTTTGCATTTGTAATATTATGGGTCGTGTGAGTAGCAATGTAAACTGTTTAGGCGCACATCTGTTCGTCGAATGCGATTGCCTTGCGCTCAGGAGATGACCGGCGCGGCGGCGTCATGCGCCACAGCGTTCCCTCGGCGACCCTCGCTAAAGTCTGTGTTTGAGCAGCGGTTGATCGCAGGCATTTACGGGAAAATTGCCCTGCGCAAGTGCGTGCGTTTCGGTGACCGAGAGCGTTTGATTGCAAGCGCTTTGAGCATTAATAAGCAATCACGGCAGGGCCCTAATGACAGCAGCAAAGCGCCCGCGTGCATGCAAAGGGGACTCGGCCGCCATTGACATACAGCGGGCGTCTCATCCCATTGCCCTACACTCTCGGTCGCGGAGCCTGTCCATGTAAGGGTATAATCACATGATGAGGAAAAGGCGGAGAAATAGGACGGCGAGGGAATGGCGGAAGGAAGAAAGGGGAGGGGGGGAGTTGAAAGAAAGGTCTAGAAGGAAGGGGGGGTAGGGAAGGGAAGGAAGGGCGAGATGCTTCATCGACAGAAGAGAAGAGACGGAGATAGGTGAGATGGCAAGAAGAGGTAAAGCAGGTCGGTTTTGTTCATACACGACGTCCTTTGGTGGGCTCGTCGCTCTCACGCGCCGACGCAATATACTTCCAGCCGGGAAACCTTTCTAGGCTAACCGCTTGTGCTGAGGCGGATAGGCTCATGGCGTCGGTTTTTGCTCTTAAACTAACAGCAGTAGTATATATATATATATATATATATATATATATATATATATATATATATATATATATATATTATACACACACACACACACACACACACACACACACAACACACACACACACACACACACACACACACACACACACACACACACCACACACACACACACACACCACACCACAAACATATATATTATATATATATATATATATATATATATATATATATATTATATATTTATATATATATGAATAAAAGAAAGAGAGGGGGAGATTGGGAGAGAGGGGAGGAGAGAAGCAATCTACTTGTACAAGGCAACTGTAGGCGCAAGATTTTGGGAGCAGAGTGCCTTATCAGCTCATTCGTTGTCTCGGAATGTGTGATAGTGGAAAAGTTCGTTTAAAATCCAGCGATGTCCGGATGATAAAGAAAAGATGTGGAGAAAAGGCTCCGTAAAAGAGCAGGGACGAGACCAGGCCAAACGAGCACGTCTCGAGCGGCCGACAAGACGTTGAGGCAAGGACGTGACGGGTTTACGTCCTTACGGAAAATTGGCAAGAGTGAATATGAGCGAGAGGATTTTTTCTTTCCTTTTTCTCTTGTTTCTTTTCTTTCTTTTTCGTTCCTTCGCCCCTTCGTTGAGGATGGGGCTGGCGAACTGTGGGTTTTGTGAGGAGTTAGGACGGAGAAAACGGCAAGGGCGAAGTGATTTTTTTAAGAGAGGGTAAGCGGGCGGGCGGGCGGGCGGGCAGGCAGGCAGGCAGGCAGGCAGGCAGGCAGGCAGGCAGGCAGGCAGGCAGGCAGGCAGGCAGGCAGGCAGGCAGGCAGGCAGGCAGGCAGGCAGGCAGGCAGGCAGGCAAGGCAGGCAGCATCAAGCAGGCAGGCAGGCAATCAAGAGGCAGGCAGGCAGCAGCAGGCATCAAGCAGGCAGATAGGCAAGTAGGCAATCAAGCAGGTAGATAGGCAAGTAGACAGACAGATTGACAGAAACATGTAAGCAGGCAGGCAAGGCAAGCCAGCAAATAGGTAAACCGGCAGGCAGACAAAAGGCAGATGGTCAGGTTAGAGTTGAAGTTGACAAGCAGGCAGGCAGGCATGTATCCAGGGAGGCAAGGAGAGGCTGGTGGCGACTTCAAGTACACTGTTGGAAGGGATCCTAAAAGGATAAACAGGCAAGGTATAGGGGAAATTAGGGCAGCGGCGGAAGGAACAGACGTCGCCCAAATGCTCGACATGGGTCTTCTTGGAATGGGAGGTGGAGGTGGGTGGAGGTGGTGGAGGTGGAGGTGGAAGTGGAGGTGGAGGTGGTAGAGGAGGTGGTAGAGGAGGTGGAGGTGGAAGTGGAGGTGGTGGAGGAGGAGGAAAGAGAAAAAAGAGGAGAGGAAGAGGAAGAGGAAGAGGAAAGAAAGTAGAAGAAGAAGAAGTAGAAGAAGAAGCAGAAGAAGAAGTAGAAGAGGTGGAAGAAGAAGAAGTAGAGGTGGAGGAAGAGGAGGAGGAGGAGGTAGAGGTGGAGAGAGGGACGTTGAGGAGGAGGAAGAAAGGGAAGTGGAGGATGAGAGGGAGAGGCACTGGAGGAAAGAAGGAAAAAGAACTGAGATGGAGATGAAAAGAAGAAAAAATGGCGTCATTTTGTCTCTCGCGCTGAGGATGGGAGAGCGAAGGAAGGAGCCCCCCTCCCCTCCCCCAGATTCTTTAGCTTCGATGGCTGTGGTATCGTGATCCTGTCACGTGATGATGGTATCGCTCGGCCGCCGTCTCTCTCGGTCCGCCTGCCCTTGCCTTGGTACGTTCGTTTGTTGCTTGGTATTGTTGTTCTTGGCTTCGTGGGTGACTATAGAGTTATTATTCAGGGGGTCTCGTTGTTTGGGGTTATCGATGGATGAATGTAAGCAGGTGTAGGGATTGATGTTGCGAGATAGTTATTGGTGTTGCGAGACTGGTACTGATGTTGTGAGATGGGTATTAGTGTTGCGAGATAGGTATTGGTGTTGCGAGATTGGTACTGATGTTGTGAGATAGGTATTGGTGTCGCAGGAGAGGTGTTGGTGTTGCGAGATTGGTACTGATGTTGTGAGATAGGTATTGGTGTCGCAGGAGAGGTGTCGGTGTTGCGAGATAGGTATTGGTGTTGCGAGATAGGCACTGATGTTGCAAGATAAGTACCGATGTTGCAAGTTGGACACTGATGTGGCAAGATAGTTACCTTTATTGCAAGATAATTTATCTATATCGCAAAATAGGAACAGATGTTGGGAAGATAGGCAACAATTTTACAAGACAAGCACTGGCGTTGCAGTATCGTTACTGTTGTTGCAAGATAGGTACAGACATTGCAGTGACCGCCTGGGTTTTGGCACTCGTCGGATGTGATGAGCGCCACCCACTTGCGTAAGGTAAGGTGCCTGGATTAATAGCGAGTGATCTCGGGGTCACGTCGCTGTCACCGCAAGAGGCGCTGTGCTGTTGGCTACTCTCTTGGCCGCAGTCACTCGACCGAGGACAAATATATTTCGGAGAGAAAGTTCAAGGTTGTGTTTTTTCTTTCTTCTTCTCTTTCTTTTTCTTTGTTCTTTGCTTGATTTTCTTGACTCTACTTTGTATTTTTTTCTTTCTTCTGCTTTTTTCTTTCTTTCTTTTCCTTCTTTCTTGTCTTTCCCTTTCGTCTTCTTTCTTTCTTTTTCTTCCCCTTCGTCGTCGTCTTGTAATTGTTGTGGTTCTAATTCTTCATAGTCATCTTTCTTTCTTTATTTTTATTTATTTATTTTATGCCTTGTCATTGGCGATACTTCTATTGTTGATCTCTTTGTCGTGCTTTTGGTTACTGACATATTTCAATTTTACTGATACATGTTTATTTGTTTTCTTTTCTGATTGTCCAGGTAGTAAAGATAGCTTTGTCATGTATCACCAACCACTCCAGGTCTATTTGCGGCGAGAACCTCCTCTTTTCCTGGCGTTGCTCTTGTTTTTCCCCAAGTCGGATTACACATGCAAACATCACAAGGGGAATAAGAGGCATTACTGGCTTTCTCCTTTGCTTAGCGGCCTGAGTTAAAGCCAGCACTCGGCCCGGGGGGTGGGTTAACTATCAGATGAACAGCTTTTGCAAGACGCCGTAAAATCCAGGGCGGCTTTGTGGTCTTAATGTCTACTAAGACCCGAGTTCCTCCGCGTGGCACTCTTCCAAGATAAACATGTCGATGATTAGCAGGGGGAGAGCACGACCTTGAGGACCTTGGTGAAGCAGGAGCAGCAGGAGGAGTACCCTGCCTGCCTCTCTCTCTCTTCTCTCTCTCTCTCTCTCTCTCTCTCTCTCTCTCTCTCTCTCTCTCTCTCTCTCTCTCTCTCTCTCTCTCTCTCTCTCTCTCTCTCCTCACTCTCTCTTTGCCCCACTCACTCTCTCTTTCCCCTCACTCTCTCTTTGACCCCCTTTCTCTCTTTGCCCCCTTTCTCTCTCTCTCTCTCTCTGCCCCCTCTCTCTTTGCCCACACACTCTCTCTCTCTTTGCCCCTTCTCTCCCCCCCCCTCTATCTCTTCCCCCCTCTCTCTTATCCCCCATTTCTCTCTTTCTCTTTTATCCCCCATTCTCTCTTTCTCTTCAATACCCCCTTCCTTTTTCTGTAACCCCCTCCCCTCTCTCTTTCTCTTTAACCCCCTCCTCTCTCTCTCTCTCTCTCTCTCTCTCTCTCTCTCTCTCTCTCTCTCTCTCTCTCTCTCTCTCTCTCTCTCTCTCTCTCTCTCTCTCTGTTTATATGTATATATATTATATATGATATATATATTTCTTTTTCTTTTTCTGTTTTTCTCTTTCCCTTTCTCATTTTCTTTCTCTTCATTTTCCTTTCCTCTCTCTCTCTCTCTCTCTCTCTCTCTCTCTCTCTCTCTCTCTCTCTCTCTCTCTCTCTCTCTCTCTCTCTCTCTCTCTCTCTCTCTCTCTCTCTCTCTCTCTCTCTCTCAGCTGTGCCAAAATGAACAGTCTCTAGTGTTATGGAGGACCAGCCGTGTGGAAGGTGGCCGAAGCGACCATGCCCGGGAAAATGTTCCACTGACTGAAAGACGTTGTGTTTAACGGTGATTATCTGAGGAATATCGCATTAGTGGCATCTGTTCTTTCGATAATGTGGCAGGAATACTGTGTCGGACGCAGTGAAGTGAGATGACACCACCCTGGTCACGGCGACGGGTGGACGTGTGACCGTGTTGAGGGAGGGCACGGGTCGGCTACGAAAGGAGGGGTTGTTACGGCGGTGTGAGGGGGTTAGGGGTTGCGATGACGGCGTAGTGGTGTGGTTTGTGATGAAGATGACTTGCGGAAGTAGGTGTTTCCCTTCTGGGAGGTTGAGGAGGTGGTGACTCTCCAGAAACTCTCCTTCTCCTTCTTCTTCTTCTTCTTCTTCTTCTTCTTCTTCTTCTTCTTCTCTCTTCTTCTTCTTCTTCTCTTCTTCTTTCTCTTCTTCTCCTCTCCTTCCTCCTCTCTCCTTCTCCTCCTCCTTCCTCCTCCTCCTCCTCCTCCTCCCCCTCTCTTTGGTCCCCTCACCCCACCCCATCCCTACTCCCTCACGGTGTGGGGTTTTCGGCTTGTCAACAGGGGGCGTAATCTGTCAGAATCGGTTAAAATCGGTCTACAGTGCTTGGTGACGGAAGACGACGAGTCGAAGCGTTTTCTCTCTCTCTCTCTCTCTCTCTCTCTCTCTCTCTCTCTCTCTCTCTCTCTCTCTCTCTCTCTCTCTCTCTCTCTCTCTCTCTCTCTCTCTCTCTCTCTCTCTCTCTCTCTCCTCTCTCTCTCATCCCTCTTCCTCCTCTCTCCTCTCTCCTCTCTCCCCTCTCCCCTCTCCCCCTCTTCCCTCTCTCCCTCTCTCCCTCTCCCTCTCCATTGCTCTTTTTCTGTTTCTCTCATTTGCTCTTTCTCCTCGTCTCCTTTCTCTCTTTCTCCAGCCAGTCGAACCGCCGTGAACCGAAGCGCCGGCAGTGCCTTGCGGTTCGCGCGATACGTGAGACGAGGGGAACCCGCCCGGCCCTCCGATTTTTATGTCGTATCGGAACGGGATATGCATACGAGGCGTGTGATATCGTCTCCGGGCCGTTCCCTCTCCCTGCCTTCTTGCTCTTTCCCGATTTACCGTGTTGCGTGTTTGTCTCTCGCGCTCTCGTTGACTGTGTCTTTCTTGTCTTCTTTCGACCTTCTTGCTTTCCTCGCAGTTTTTTTAGATTTGTTTGTCACATTGTTTGCTTCTCTTTGCCTTAGCTTGTTTCATTCTGTGTTCCGGTTTCTCCTCTTTTCACTCGTTTCCCTGTGTCGGTCTGTCATGTCAATCATGGTTTTCCACTATTTTGATTTTCAGCCTTTCTGAATATTCTCGCTTTCGTTCAGTCATTCTTTCTCTCTCTCTCTCTCTCTCTTCTCTCTCTCTCTCTCTCTCTTCTCTCTCTCTCTCTCTCTCTCTCTCTCTCTCTCTCTCTCTCTCTCTCTCTCTCTCTCTCTCTCTCTCTTCTTCCTTTTCTCTCTTTCTTCTCTCTTCTCTCTCCTTTCGTACTTTCTGCTTTTCTTTCTTTCTCGTTTTCTCTTTTTCTTCCCTTCTACCCTTCTACCCTTCTACCTCTCTCTCTTTCTCACTCACCAGGATTTCAAGTGCTATATAAGACCTCCTTGGTAGTATTACCGTATTATTTTTATTTTCATTCTTCAAACATCTGTCACTCAAGTCTTAGACTAATTCGGTCATTCATTCAGTCAAGTCAGTCAGCGCGTTTCGGTTTCAGTTCAGCATGTCAAGGCTGTCATGTAGCTATTCCTTTCCATTTACTTAGCAGTTGACTCGTTTATGTGAATTCTGAAAGCCGAAACAGTAATATGATCTGCGATTTAGTCAATTGCTGTCAAATGAGTAATTCAAGCCGGTTCTGTAATTCAGTCAGTCTTGCTGTCAAGTCAGACGTAGCTCAAAAGCCAGACTAGATAATGGAAATGTCAATTAGTGGTTACAAGGATCACATTGGTTAACTTCTCATGTTTCGCGGGAATAAAAAAAAACTCGCTCTGCAGGTGGATTTGTTTGTATGACGGTGGTATCGCTAGCCAGATGCGGTGGGCCGTTCTGTGCGGGGGTAGCTAGGCAGCGTCTTCACCCCTGAACAATTTGCGGTTTGTTCGGTGGCCGCGGGCGCTTGCGTAGGCTAGTTACTGGGCTGGAAGGATTACTCCTCCTAGTCCCCCTTCCCTCTCATCAACACCATCTTATGTTAGTTTTTTCCTCCTGGAAAGTAGGTCTGCGTAGAATCCGTAAAAGATCGTGACCGGGTCATTCGTGCGTCAGACGATGCAACAGACCAGAATGCTTCATTAGTTTGTGCAACATCGCAAGCTTGGCAGTGACGCCCCGCGGAAGGTTCCAAGCCTTTGAACACCAGACTCATGGTAATCACGGACGACTTCGAGGTTGTCAGGTAAGTCATCACCTGTGGGTCGAGGGGGAGGTGGCGGTCGTTTACCCCGACAGCTTCGAATTACCTCGGGTAAGGGAGGGTTGCCATGACAATCGGGAGGGCAAGAGGGGTACTCCTAGTGGGTAGGGGTAGAAGGGAGGGCAAGACGGCGTTACTGAGACCAGGCCGGAGAGGCGGTAGAAGAGAGAAGGCGGCGAGGACGGGGAAGCTGCAGTCTGGGTCGAGAGGCGCCCTTCGTCCACGCCGCCGAGGGGGAAGGGCGAACATGGTGGAAGGAATCGATTATGAATATTGATGGCTGGAGTCGCTGCTGGTGGACAAAGGACACGACGGCGGTTATGGCTAGGGTGGGGAATAAGGAGAGGAAGTTAGAGGAGATTCGAAGTGTGGAGTAGAATAGTTCATGTAACGTATGGCCTCATAGCTATGGATAGAAAGGTTTGTTATAATTGGAGAGGCGTATTGACGACACAAAAAACAGTGTTGCCTTGAAAGTGGGATATATTTATGTGATTGAGGAAAATAGACGGGGCATATGAACCTCTTGGATCTTTTTTTTTCATCTTGCGTCTTATTTTCGATGCTATGCGGCGTGTATAGTTATGACAAGACTTATGCCTCGTGTCTTTGTCAGCTTCATAAATATCCTTGCACACTTTTTGCAGAAGTTTAGGTTAAAGTGCTTTCTTACCATGGTTGTTAAATGTGTGTGTCCTTGACTTATTTCAAGGTCTTGGGTCACCTGCCAGATATGAAACCTTGGGTGACTTTGTTTTCTTGTTTGACTCTCTTCTGTTTCTTGGTTTATTGATTGATTTTCTTGTAGAGTTTTATTTGTTTGTAGTCGCTTTGATAAAATACATTGTGTTATTTTTGCCTTTGGATGTTCGAATGCTGATATTTTGTTTATTCTTTGCAGGTACGTTGATGACTGTCTTGGGGGTTGAAGAATACCCTGCAACGTTTGGTGAGTCACGCATGGTGTTATTATCCAGCATATGATAACTGCTGCGGGGCATTGTGAGTATTGCATGACGTTCGAAGACTGGGGACTGTACAGATCGCTTGATAAGTTGTGTCACAAGTCTTTGCTGTAGGAAAAGGGTAAGGTTCTTAAATAACTTACAGCTCGTACCTCGTAATGCTGAGATGTAACCTAAGGATCATACAGTGACATCCTGTGGCAGGCGGTGTAAGCTGCATCAAGGTACGTTGTCAGTGCATGACGAATGAATCAGTAAGCTACCAGTTCCAGTTTAAGCGATCGTCTCACTGGATGGGCTGCGTTTCAGATGTCGCGTACTTGAACGATTTACGCCTCTGGGACTTCTGCTCAACTCCCGTCACTAGTTTCCGTCGATTTAAGATTTGTGGGAGTCTTGAAACTTCATTCTTTAATGGAGTTTGTATGTATCTGGATAGTATATGTATAGTGAGGTAACTTTCAAGGGAGTTGTTCTTGAATGTTGGCTCTTGCTTGTTACGCGGCATCCGGGGACGCCAAATATACACGTGGGACACTGGTTTTCACGTTAATTTGCAGCTGAGATTGTAGAGGAGGCACAAGATGGGAGGTAAAATAAAGAAGAAACAAGGAAGTGGGAGAAAGGGACAGCTAGCTTGCTTATGTTGCCAGGAGAGCGCAGGTTTAACCCGCGGCTCCGCGAGGCTTCGACACATCAAAGGAGAACGTCTGAGGCAGTCACCAGCCGGATCCTGCCCTGAGCTTGTTTAATGACCGAGGCTAAATGGGGGTGAGCCATCTCCTTTTTCTGGCTTTTGTTTTTCGGGCGCCCGTTTTTGTCGTCGACTGTGAATTCGCCTGCTGCTTCGCTTCTGTCTGCGGGATGTGCGGGTGAAGCTCTGCTGGGAGGGAGGGTTAGGGGGAGGGACGAAGATGATTTATACGAGGAAGGAAAATTGGACCAGAGATTGCCTGGCACTTGACGCCTGTCTTTTGGAGGCAGGTACGGCTACCACCAGCTGCTTAAACACGCTTAATTGAATAGCTGGTTTCAGTGCCCGAACGCGCGCGCGCAGGCGAACACAAAGAGGCGGCAGTAGCGTGGCGGCTGGAGGCTGTACCCAAGATTCCGTGGAGTTAACGACGGATTCATTGTCGATTTGGTGGCGATCACGCGGCGCGGGGGCAGTGTGGTCCTCAGAAGACATACCTGGCACGATCTACAGGTGCGCTGAGCGACCGCCCCCTCCCCCTCAGTCGAGGGGGCAGGACCTGTGGTCAGACCGCTGCCAAACGCGCTGGATGTGGTGTATTATTTTTTGGTGTCTTTTTCTCACTCTTTCTTCTATATTTAGCTGGATTTTTTCTTCTTACGAAAGCGTCTTGTTTGCAAATACCCACTCGATTGCGCTGTCCAGTTGCCAAGACTCACCTTTCGGGCCCTCGTTTTGGCCAGCGGACTGTGACGGCGCGGGTTTGTTTCCATCGCTTGAACGCAGCACAAGCGTCGTTTGTGCTGCGGCCGCGCTCGTCGTCGTCGTCGTC